ACCTGGAGACAACCTGAATGTTCTTCAATAGGTGAACGGTTAAACAATACACTGTGGTATGTTCATATCATGGAATAGTATTCAGTAATAAAAAGGAATGAACTATTGATAATGCAATAATAGCTTGGGTGGACCTCAAGGGTATTATGCTGAATGAAAAAGCCAATCTCAAAAGGTCACAAATCACATTTTATTTATGTAACATTATCAAAATTATAGAGATGGAGAACACATCAGTGGTTATCCTGGTTTAGAGATGAGGCAGGGGAGAGGAAGATGAATGTGACTATAAAGGGGTGGCACAAAGGAGGTTTTCGAAGTGATAGACTAGTTCTGTATCCTGACTATGGTGATAGCTACAGGAATCTACACATGCTTGAAAAAAGCACACATGTAAAACTGGGAAATCTAAATATGTTCCAGATTGAATCAATGTCAATTTCCCGCTTCCATTATTGTATTATTGGTTATATAAGATGTTACGAATGGGGGGAACTAGGTGAAGAGTACACAGATCCTCTCTACTGTTTTTGCAACTTCCTATAAAGCTATAATCATTTCAAAATAAAAAGTTTTAAAAAGAAAAACAAGTGAACTATAGGCATTTTACTTAAAAACGAAACAAGAGGCGTATATAGCTGCACTACTAGCCAGTGAGGTCCCAAACACAGATTTAAACATACACAGCAGTATTATATGACTTTATTTTTTGAAAAGTTAAATCCAATTCTCCAGAGTCTGAACAGAGATATTATTTCCTAACACCTTGGAGCTATTCCCCCGTCCCCCTCATAAAAGGAAAAACAATGCCTGATGTGTAAGCCCCTTTGGGAGTTCAGGAGTCCTGTCCTAAGTGCCTGGGATGAATATACTCTAAGGTTTCACAAGAACTAAGGCCAAGGGGCCTCCCAAGTTATAAACTTAACATGGTGCCAACACACAAACAAGCCCAGGCATAGCTTCCTGCCAGCAAAAGTAGTGTACTGACCTACGTACAATGGCGAGGATTTAAAGTTTGCCCTTTCTCCGAGACAAAAACGACGTCAAACAAAATAATTTTTTAAAATAATCACTAAGCAAACAAACAAAAACTTCAATAACCTCAGACTATTTCTAACAAACCTTAAATTCAAATGTCCTCTAATTTGACCTTCAAGTTACCCCTTGCTTTTCAAGTATTCTATTGCCTAGTGAATTCTGGGACATAAGAACCTATCAAAATTGATGAAAAAATAGGAGGAGAAAAATTACTCAAAACACTAGAGAATTTCCTGACCTGAGCATCCATATGCATTTAAAATGCAGAGAACCACACCGGTCAGGGACAGGGGAACTGCTACTTTGGGAGAGTTTTCCATTATCGGAAATACCATCAGGTCTTAACAAAGTTACTTCTTTTTAATTTATTGGCCTGGAAAGTCTTTCAGAGTTTTATAATTTTCACTAGCAATTTGTTACATAGTCATTATTCTTTCTTTAAAAAGTCTTACATTACATACAGTAGCCCGTGGTTTTGCTTTCCGAGGTTTCAGTTACCACAGGTCAACCTCAGTCTGAAAATATTAAATGAAAAGTTCCAAAAATAAACAATTTATAAGTTTAAAATTTCTCGCTGTTCTGAGCAGCGTGATAACATCTCGCACCATCCCACTCCATCCCGCCAAGGACTTGGATCATCTCTCTGTACAGCGTATACCCTACCTACCCATTAGTCACTAGGTAGCCAGCTCAGTTATCAGATGAACTACAGTGCTTGTGTTCCAGTAACTCTTATTTTACTTAACGCTCCAAAGCTATTCATATAACTTTCATTATAGTATGTTGTTATCATTGTTCTATCTTATTATCAGTTATTTTTGTTAATCTCTTACTGTGCCTAATTTATATATTAAACTTTATCATCGATATGTACATATAGGAGAAAACATAGTATATATAGGGTTCAGTACTACCCAGTTTCAGGCATCCACTGGGGAATAAGGGAGGACTACTGTAGTATTTTATCATTTTTAAAAGCACTTTCACAAATTCCTCTGAAGAAACACAGCACTGGTACCTACGGGCTGTACTTTTCAACAGAACTCTAACCAGCCAGACTGCCATCTAATTTCAATTAGTTCAGCCATCTTTCCCCAGGCCCTGGGTCCACACTTTTCCATACAGGAGTAGACATGGTCAGACAGCTGACCATGATAAGAAGAAAAGAAAAGGGAAAGGGAAAGGGAAAAGGAAAAGGAAAAGAAAAGAAGAAAGAGAGAGAGAGAAAGAGAAACAGAGGAAGAGGGAGAGGGAGAGAGGGAGAAAGAAAGAGAGAAAGAAAGAAAGAAAGAGAGAAAGAAAGAAAGAGAGAAAGAAAGAGAGAAAGAGAGAAAGAAAGAAAGAAAGAAAGAAAGAAAGAAAGAAAGAAAGAAAGAAAGAAAGAAAGAAAGAAAGAAAGAAAGAAAGAAAAAGAGAAAAAGAGAAAAAAGAAAGCAGAGCTTTAACCACAGAAGCCTGGAGACTTACTACTGGCCAAGGGCAGACACTCTCAGTCTAATCAGCAGAATGCCTTCCCATAAAATCACTTACTTTTCTGCATTCATGTGCTTTTCTTAACAACAGTACTTTAAAATCTCATTTAAACTGAAAGTCCTCCATTAGCTTCCATGAAAAGATGTATTTTTAAATGCTTTGATCTCTACATATCCTTCCGTACATTAGTATTCTTCACCCTCCACCATCTGCACAGAACCTAAAAGACCAAGACTTCTGAGCATTTTAAAAAGAAGAGAAGGAGAATGGAGTTTATAAGTACAGCACCTTCTCTCCACTTTGCAGAGTTCACCTTATTTATCTTGAAAAACATATCTTGCAAAGCAAAAGTATACCCATCCAAAAACTAAACACACCACTACCACACCACATCTCACCAGGGAGACTAGAGGCATCTCTAAAGCCTTCTACTCTATGTTCTACTCCTTTATATTCTGGCCAGTGGTTTCAAACCCTTTACTCCTCTGTAAAACAATTCAAGGTGTATCTAAGTATTGTTCTCATATACTTCCCACAGAGAGAGGTCATAGTAGAGGCACCATAATGCTCAGAGCAATGTGATGGGGAATAAATTTTACATTAGTCTAGATTCTTCAAGTATTTGCAATCTAGAGAGATCTTTAATCTATTACCTAGGTCTGAAGTCCACAGGGAGCTGCAGGGGCCAGGAGTGGTGGGCAGCCACAGGAAATCTTACTCAGTTTGGCAGGGACCCACAGGCCAGTTTTGGAAGCAGAGAGCCATGACTGTTCAACATTTCAAGCCCTGACTTTTCACTTCCGGAAAAGGAAGGAAATTTTTTGGAATAGTAGCTATTAATATCCTTCCATTCTGCTTTTACTCCCTTATGGCAAGTAACGTTATCGTTTGGAGTAGTCAAAAGCAAAAGCATCTCCGGGTATCATAAATGGCTCTTGGGACCCCCTACTCACCACTCCCTCCCCACTCCACCCTACCTCCACCACCAAGGGCTTTAGAAGCTGTACAAAAACTCAAGTCTCATAATATGCCTAGGAAGATCATGGGCAACCGTGTCCGCACTGTATCAGGATGGCAAGAGAGCTTGAGGGACCAAGCGCGCAAAATGTTGATCCAAACCGCAAACCCTCTGGAGGCCGCACCCTCAGGGCCTCTGTCTACTGAAGCCCCAGTCCAGGGGATCCACACGCAAGCTCGGCATTTTCCAAAGCATTTGCCACCTGGAGACAATAAGCCAACGCGGAAGCCTAAAAAGAAAAAAACCTTCTAGAATGCAAAGGGAAAAAGTCTTCCCTGTCACCAATCAAGACACTAGAGAGTAGGGCGTGGCAAGGCGCGGGAGCTGCAGCCGGGGAGTCGGGATTCTCAGGCTGGGGTTCTAAGGGGGTAAACTTGGCATCGTCGCCACGAGCTCAGTCCAGGCGTCGGAGGCCCCGAGGTGGGTGCGCGCCGGGGCTCCTCTGTTGCACCGCCTGATCCTCCAACCCGGCTGACTACGGGCGGCCCCTACCCAAGTGCAGGGCCCCAGCTTCGCTCGGTTACCATCGGTCGACTTGCCATTCTCCCTCCTGCCACAAATGTCACATTCCAAGAAAAAAAACAGTTCTACTTCTAAAGTTTAATTTTTTCATTATTTTAAAGACAGCGCTAACAGCAAGCAGGAGAGAGCTAGATGTAACTCCCCGGTTTCTGTCAAAGAAACTTGTCTAGGGAGAACAAAGGAGTAGCAGCTAACGCGATCCAAGCCTTGGGGTCCGGGGCGCGAAGCCGTCGTCGCCCCCACCCGCCGGAGCCGAGACTCCCCTGCCGGCAGGAAGGGTCCGGCCCGGGGCGCTGCAGCCTGTCGGGCGGGCGGGCGTGCACGCCTTTGTCCACAGCCCCCGCATCGGGGGCGCGCCCGCACCCCGGGGCCCCCGGCCCGGCGCGGGGACATAACTTTTCAGTCTTCTACGGGACAAGGAGAGGCGCGCCTCTGTGACCCGGCCCGCCCTCACCGGGGGCCTGCTGAGTGGCGCGGGAACGGAGTTGCTCTTTTTTTTTTTTTTACAAAAGGGTAAAAATATCTGGGTAAGAGCAGCCCCCGCATCGGGGGCGCGCCCGCACCCCGGGGCCCCCGGCCCGGCGCGGGGACATAACTTTTCAGTCTTCTACGGGACAAGGAGAGGCGCGCCTCTGTGACCCGGCCCGCCCTCACCGGGGGCCTGCTGAGTGGCGCGGGAACGGAGTTGCTCTTTTTTTTTTTTTTACAAAAGGGTAAAAATATCTGGGTAAGAGAGCAAGATTCCGGTGGCGGGCACTCCCAGCCCCTGGCGCCGAATCTGCTGCCCAAGTCTCTCCGAGCCCTGTGGATCTCAGCCCCAAGCCCCTGAGGAGTGGCCCCCTGCCGCGGGCAGCAGGGGAGAGGGAGCAGTAGACGGCTGGGTCCTTTTCGTGGGAGATCTGGGAGACTCCGAGGCGCCCTCCCTGCACCCCGATCCGGGACTGGTTACCTTTCACCGCAGACTCACAAGTTCCCCGGCGCAACTTTGCCCTCCACATGAGGCGATCATGGCTAGTTCAGTTTCGCAGCTGGGGAAAGCGGCCGCAGGGCAGCACGCTGAGCATGGCGTGGGGCAGCGCAGGGAAGCGGCGCCCGACAATCAGCCCCATTCACACAGGAAGGAGAGAAATGCCAGGGCTTCACCTCCAGCCTTAAACCCGACATCCGCTGCTGGGTCCTAGAGCGTCCCGCGCGCTCCCTCGGCCGCCCGCGCTCCGCGCGCGGGTCGGGAAGGGTCGTCCGGGCTCGTCACTGTAACCCTACACTCCTCCCCCGTCCCGGCGCCCGGCCGCTGGGCCCTAGAGCCCGTCTTCAGTTGCCGCCACCCCTCCCCGGGCCCGCGAGATTGCCTGCTGAAATAGCCCAGAGCTCAAGCTGACGTGTCTCCCCGAGTTAGAAGGGCCATATCCTCCCTTGTTTTGTCCCCTGCCGCGGTTTAATTAATGTCAGACTCACCAGTTCTCCTTCCGTTGACTTTCTTCCCACCAGCCCAACTCCGGCAGAATCGGTTTCCCAATCTGCCCTCGAGGTCCAGGATAGGTTCTGTTTAGGATTTTTTCTTGAGTGGAATTTCCAAGTGAAAAGTGGCCACACTTTTCCCTTAGCATTCTCCAGGTCCCAGTGCTTCTATCACACACTGAGATTGGACGACAAGCCACTAAGATGTGCTCCGTTGACAAGCAGAAGGGCCACAGCAGATCTTACAACCTTAGCTATTATCCTGTGGCCACAAACCCCCAAGCTGTCATCTGCCTGACTGGAGGCAGAGAGAGTAGTGGCTATGGATAGGTGTTGCCAATTCTCCCTCACCTCTTAAATCAGGCTGTACTAAGTGACACTATTCACCAGTCCCCTTATACTCAATTATATTGGGCAGAACTCTGGAACCTTGATTTGGAGACCAGGAACCTGGCCTCCACCATAACATTTCTTTCCCAGCTTTGCTGCTCATAGAATGAAAGGCCAGGTAACAAACAGGGCTGTTTGCTGTGGAAGACGTTAATAGGAGTTAGTATATTTCACATCTCTGGTGCTCTCCTCCCTTTCCCTTTTCACTAGGCCAAGTTTGTGGCAATTACCTAACTAGTCTGCCAGCAGTTTTACCCGTCTAGTTAATCCTGGAAGGTCGTGTGTCCTTCTGATTCTAGTCTATTCTTCTGATTCCCATGATGGCTAGCTCAGGAACCGCCCCTCTCAAGATAAAGCCCAAATGCAGTAATTTAACAATTATTTACCAAATACTTACTTTATTTAAAGTCAACTATCCTAGTATTGATAGCACAAAAAAAGCAGCAAACAAAGCTTTCAAGGATTTATTATCTATTTAAGAAGACAAGATATGCAAACAAAACAAAGCATCAACACAGGAGATCCAAGCACTGGAGATGCTTGGAAAAGGTGGAGAGAAGGTCTGATTACAGGAAAAAGGAGAGCCCTGAAGGGTGGTGGAGCTCAGAAACAGCTAGCATTTCAGAGTAGACTAGGGAAGAGGTAATAGAAAAAGGAGAGAAAGAAGGATGGGAACTAACACTTATTAATTGCCCCCTATTAGACATTATACTATATCCGAGGAGGCAGTTACAAGCATCCATGGAAACAAAACAGGCCTGGGTTGAGTCACAGTGCAACCACTCACCATCTGTGTGACCTTGAGCAAGTCACCTAACTTCTCTAAACCTCAGTTTCCTCATCTGTGAGATGATGAAAACAGTACCAAGCCTCACAGGGTGGTTGTAAGGACTGAATAAAGTAAGAAATGTAGAATACTTAGCACAATGCATACAAGTACTCAACATATAATTGCTATTATTATTTCAACCAACTTTCCAATAGCCCTGTAAGACAGATTCTAGGAAATAGTTGCAGGAAGCAATGATGTTTGAGGTTGGGGCAAAGGAGGTGGAAAGGAAGAAACAGCGTGTAGATAAATCTTTGAAGATACCAAATACAATGAAGAAAGATATCAAATCTTTGAAGCAAGATTTCATGATTTTTCTTGACTAGATGGCTATCCTGGGAAAAAGAACAAAGTAATTAATTTAACCCAGATTTTGAACCATAGGAAGAATGGACCATTCTTAGAATTGGTCATTGAACTAATGATAGAATAAGCAGAGTTGAGGGGAGTAACTAATCTGAGAATGATGTGGAGCGATTTAGTGTCCTCTTGGCAAGAGGAAATAAGGAACAGCTTGGGTGAGAAGTCAAAAACAGAGGTGTAGAGAATAAGAGATAAAGCTGTGAAGAGCAGTTTATTTGGAGAATACCCACAATGAAAAATTAGTGAAAGCAGGAAGAGGAAGAGGAAGAGCCAGGAGAAATAGTCGGGCAGGTTTAAAGTCTTGGAAGCCATAGAAAGTTTTAAGAAGATGGTCCCTCTCTCAAATACTACAGACCCCTAGACTTTTGATGAAGTGATAGGCACGGCTTGTGGGCTCAAGAATCTTCTGATTCAATCAGGTGGGCCTAACCTATACACTTCAAATTGATACCAAGTGGTGATGCAAGCAAGAGTCAAGTGTGTGGCAGCACAGGCAGAAAGACCTGCTGGAGGCCAATTTTTTCCCATGCACCTTACCTTCTTCAACTATTAATAATCACTACATCAAATACATCTCAATCTATGGTTCAATCTCAGGCAACTAAGGCCTGAGAAAAAGACTTTAGATTCGACTAGCAAGAGATCATCAATAACATTTTACAGTATACTCGGTTGCAGACTGTGATGTTTGATTGGGGCCAAATAGAAAGAAGCTATGTTTACAATAAAAACTGAATACAGCTTTACCAGCAGCTAGGCAGTGAACAGGTCAGCATCTGTATTTTCTCTGCATCTATACATTCCCTTTAAAGGTCAGCATCCGTTCTAAAGTGACCCAGGTTGTCTTTTGTACTTATCCCTAAAAAAGTTAGGAAGGTGATGGAAGAATTTCAGTGCCCTTAGGGACATCTCAGAAAACTGTCTCCAAACAGGGCAGGTACCAGGATGTTCTAGACAAGCACAGAGGCCGAAAGAAGAGTAAAGTAACAGGCATCCAAGTAGAGGAGAATGAGCCTGGCATTTAGAGGTTCAGAACTTCTCTAAGGGCGGAGTCTTAGAATCTACCCTAAATAGATACACTGAAGTTTGAGGGACACAGACTAAGGTTTCCAACTGGCTCACTGGGGTTACGGTGCTCTTGCAATTCTCCTTCAGAAGCATTTACTACATCAGAGCTTAATATGATAAAGGTAAAGGTTGATGGCTGACATAATAGAGGTTAAAACAAAGCATTATGGGAACACAGAGGAGTTATTGCTTTTGCAATGGGGCAGCGGGTGAGGGGGAGTGGGGTAGATTCCAAGAAATCCATGTGCTGAGAGAAGGATATTACTAGCAAAGGCATGGACATGAGAAAAGAAATACAATAGCCATGCTTCTCAACACTGTTTTTTTGAATCTCTTCTTTTCATAAACATAAAATGGTCACACCAACCCCAGACTGGATAAACCCCTATATTATCACCAGGCTAGAAAATTTTTTCTAAGCTTTTCTTTCAGTCCTCTGTTCTACAAAGACAATGGTTTTATTTTTTTTTTCCTGCTTGTTTCCAAATATGAAATCATATTCTCAAATAAGTTTTTTCACATGGCATATGCCTCCTCTGGGGACGCTGACACATGCTCTATCCTCATCCTGCAAACTATTGACAGGAGCAAAATTCAGGGAATAGTGGGGGTACCTAAAGTAGAGGTTGCCAGGAGAATATTGCTGAGAAGAGAGGAAAGAGCAAGGGATGAGCCCTTGCCAGGCCAGACTGACTAAGAATGGAAGAGTGAAAAACAAAGAAGAGGAAGACGTGAACGTCAAGTGGAAGATATATAAGGTGAGACACCTCTGCAGTTCTAGAAATATCAGGTGCCTTAGAGATGAGGAAACTGCTCCTAGGAGGATATAAATGTATTATATACAGAATAGATCATCTGGAAACCTTGCTCCGTTTGAAGCTTACTTAAGAACTCTGTTAATTATAAAAAAAATTTCCAAACAAATATTTCTTGAGTACCTACTAAGGGCCAGGCTCTGTGCTACCATCCTACACAGGCATTTGACTTGATTAGCAAGTTATGGATCAGAGGCCTGTTTGTCTGGATGCTTTTAGTTTCACACCCATAGTGACATGCTGGTCTCTTCTTGCCTCATGGCTTTCTCCTGTGAGCATACTACCTAATATGTGTTAAACACACAATTTGATCTATATAAAACACAAGAAACAGAGGGTAGGTATGACCTTGCCCAGGAAAAATGTACCCACACCAAATAGCTAAAGAGGAAAAGTAGACACTTTGGTCCCGAACAAACTTGAGGTCAGATCCTGACTGAGCCACTGAGTAGTTGTGACTATAAAAAGGCTGGTATATGGCAGGTAATTAATAAATGATAATCAGTCAAATTATTATTTGCTACAATTATTACAAAAACCTTGGGAGTATTGAAAGCTCATACTGCTTGGATGATTGGCTATTTCAGGGTTTCTCAGCCTTGGCACTATTGCTATTTGGGGCTGATAATTCTTTGTTGTGAGGGACTGTTCTGTTCAAGATAGGATGTTTAGCAGCATCCCTGGTCTCTATCTACCAGATGCCGATAGCAACCCTCCCCTACCTCAACCCCAAGTTGTGGCACTAATGCCTCCAGACATCGCCAAATGTTTCCTATGAGGAAAAATTGCCCCTGGTTGAGAACCACTGAGTTAGTTGAGTAACTGATGTTGTCCAGTTTAGAGGCTCCCAAGCTTCAAAACACATTGATCATTCCATTGAGTTGCTGCGTAAATCCAATTGCACATGAGTAGGAGGCAGCCTCAATTTCATTTAGTTCACAGTATACCATCCTATGGCAGTTTCTTCCTTTTCCTCTTTTCATGAACAAAAACCTAATCATGTTTTACTCTCTTATCTCCAATGATGATACAGACACATTTTTTCCTCCTAAAACTGGAATCATACTGAGTTTCTAAAATAACAACAACATAAAATCACTATTAAAAACAAGGATTGTCACAATAACTGGAGATAACTTAAATCAAAATGTTCATACTTAAAATCCCTTATAGTTGCCATTCTGAAAAGGATGCTTGGGGGTTTTATTCTGAAAACATGTCTTTTCTACCCATAACTAGAAAGAACAGTGAGAAGAATGGCCCCTCCACAACTTATACAACAGTTCCAGTTCTTCTTTTTCTAGAATATGCACTAAAGACCAGCATGTCTTGTACTTGAGTAGTC